GCCGTCCTGGCCCCTGAGGGCCCGCCCTGGCCTCTGAGGATCGCCCTGGCCTCTGAGGGCCGTCCTGGCCTCTGAGGATCCGCCCTGGCCTCTGAGGGCTGCCCTAGCCTCTGAGGACCGCCCTGGCCTCTGAGGGCCGCCCTGGCTTCTGAGGGCCGCCCTGACCTCTGAGGGCCCGCCCTGGCCTCTGAGGGTCACCCTGGTCTCTGAGGGCCGTCCTGGCCTCTGAGGATCGCCCTGGCCTCTGTCCTGGCCTCTGAGGATCGCCCTGGCCTCTGAGGGATTGTCCTGGCCTCTGAGGATCGCCCTGGCCTCTGAGGGCCGCCCTCTGACCCTCTGAGGGCCCCGCCCTGGCCTCTGAGGGCCGCCCTGGCCTCTGAGGATCACCCTGGCTTCTGAGGGCCCGCCCCTCGGCTGCCAACCTGCCAGGGCTATGCTCTGGGCCGGGCAGTTCTCCTGCTGTGGGCCGTGATCACCAGTGTTTCTCTTGTGGACGGCTGGTGACTCCTGAGGTCACCGTGCTACCTCCCGGCGGCCGCCTCTATTACCTTCAACTGCAGTGTTGTGTGACTTGGAGGTCACCGCACACTACCAATCAGCTGACTGATCCGTCTAGAGAGAATACAAGCTTTCGGTGGCGATAGAAAACCATAGCAAATGCCATCTTCAAGTCCGTTACATATTTTTAAAAAGCTAGATCTAACTTACATGCATGTTCGGAGTCATTTTAAATGTGGCTCCTGACTACTGCGCCGTCTGCAGTTCTTTCAAGACCATCCTTGAGTTGCCGTCAAAGACCTACTAGGTCTGAATCACAAAGCCGTCGTTGGTTCACATCGTCAACGCGTTCTTGGTCTCGGCCGCACGGGCTGGCTTAGTGGCCAACGTGTGGTCAACTGAGCTCTGATGTGGTGAAACGACGTTTTGAGTTTCGCAGTGATTGAATTAAGCTGCGGTTTTACTTCTTTTTGTATCAAATTGTGCATGCTTGGGTGTGGTTGGGATTGGATAAGGGAAGGGCTCATAGAATGGTGTCTGCGTATTACATAACTCCAAAGCACAGTTGATAAAAGATATGAAGTTGAGTACAGATAACAAAGTTCACAGAGTGAATAAGAGCTTCTTGTAGTTGCAAAGGCTATGACCTTTGGTTTCGAACGCATTTGATAGTGCCGGCAGATGCTTGATATAGAAGGCCTATGATAGTTCATTTCTCATAAGCTTTTTTTCACAAACGAAGCGTAAAGTACATTTTTGGGATAGCTTAAGACTTGCATGTTCAATGAGCTTGTTCTGGTTATAATTGTTTTGACCACCATTTTACAGGATCAATGAAAAGAGTGAGTAGGTCTACGCTCTGGCTTTCTCCAAATGCGAGAAAAGTAGTCACTCGCAATGCCTAAGTTTTGAACTGGCATATTCGTGGCATTCCCAGCGCAGCACACAAACAATTAGTGGTCAATCGACCTCGATAGAAATCACATCTGAGCTCTGGAATGCAGTTAATATCGCCATCAATCAATGCAACATTAGTTAAGGCGACACGGAGGTGACACGGGGAGACTAATGACCCAATATCATAAACGACATCACGTTAACGCAACGTTAGTTTGCTTGTTTTAGTGCGAACAGCATGCCTAGCCAATAATAATAAGACTTCTGGCAGTCAGCACCGTTTAGGATTATAACCGTACTTGGAAAAGGGGTGAGAAACTCGGTTGCAAATAAAATAACCGCTTAAACCAAACAGAAATTGTTGCCGCGAGTAGAGAAGCAACAACAAATTCGGACCTAGTACCGCTCACATCCTGTTTAACCTAAAGTTGTTAAGTATATTTGCAAGCAACATTATGTACATCATGACAGTGGAAAGATCATTATTCCTCGCAGAAAAACCAGGAGATGGAGAGATAGATGCATCATATTGGAGCAAGCCTTACGAAACATTCGTGAAATATTTCGTTCGTTAAATGCATGTACCAGGTTATAATATGTGTATAAACAATATCATGAAATATGAAATATATTATATCGATTTATCTGTTAAGTATATATCGTACATATGTATATATATTATATGATATATATATATATATAATAGATATAGATATATATATATATAATATATAATATATAATATAATATAGATATATACCATGATAGTTTTTATTGATGATCTTTATGTTAGATATATCTTGGGTGCGAACTCGAATCTATCAAAGCTACCCTCTCTCTTCTCATCTCTCATTCTCCTCTCTTGTTCTTCTTCGCTGCACTCGGAAGCTGCTAGTACTTTACTCTCTCTTATGATGCCCATGTTAACAGATTCAGCAGTATCGCCTCCTCTCTCTGCTCTCTCGCTATATCTTCCTCTCCTCTCTCTCCTAATCTCTCTCGATCTCTCATTTCTCTCTCTCTCTATCTCTCTCTCTCTCTCTCTCTCTTCTCTATCTCCTCTCTCTTCTCTCTCTCTCTCTCTCCTATCTTTCTATCTATCTATATAGTTTTACTGCTTTCTCCCCATCGGTGCATGGCCGACGACATCGCCTATAGACGCAGAGGCGCGCACAGACTAAAAACTGGCTTTGCCTGTAATGCTCTCGCTCCTGGTAAAGCCAGCAGCGGCAACTGAAGAATATCACTAGGCTGCTTGGTGGATGACTTTCCTGACTGGGCATACCTATGGGCACCCTTATGGAATGCGTAACGGGTTGGGCTGGGTAGAACTTTAGGGAAATCACAGGTATCGGTACGGGTATTGATCGAGCACTTGCGAAAATCGGCTAGATGCTTTGAGAGATGCCACTCAATGTTACTGCTTGCTCTTTTTACATATAATTAGCTCCATTTTCGCCACCTTCGAAACGATCAATGCACTCCGCTGAAAATGTTTCTTAATTTAGAGCTAAAGCACTGACCAAATGCAAATCAGTGAGCAACGAATGGATGCAATGGGCGAAGGGCACAGTCCGATGGGTATAGAGCAAATTAGGTTAAGGAATATCCCCCGTGAAGGTCTCTACTACTCGAAGATCGCGGCCTTGATCTTGATTGAGTCGCATAGATACAGAAAGCTGCGCTTCAGGTGTGCACGTTTAACGTTGCAATGTAATTGAAAAGATTCTGGACGCTAAAAATATAGACTCCAATGTTGTCGAGGCTCAAACGTTAATATTCCCGGCAGGCACGGACATTTCACATTTATTCCAGACCATTGTTTCACCGCATTGCACGCTTACCAAAAGACCACCCTACCTAGAGACAACATGGACATTGATCCTATTACTGAGAACTAAATTCACGTGGGAAGATGATTCTACGTAACTCCAAGTGCAAGCATGGATGCGTGAACAGAAACCCAGCAGTTGTAATAACTCTGTTGCACCGGCTCGATTGCTACTATTGAACATCCAACATTTTTACATAACAAAGGAAATGACCGCTCCAATTTTTAGTGGCCTCTGACATAAAATGATCTACTTCAGAAAACTCCATTTCCAGCGTGTGCGTTCCATAGAAAGGAGCGAGGTGTACAGTTGACATGATTCTTACGCATAGATTAACTGCGAAAGAAGTAGAGCTAATGATCTACCATTAGGCACCGAGTCACGAATTCATGTGGTTAATTAATTATTTCATCCCGACGCAAGCCATGTTAGCGCAATCAATCGTATATTTAGACCCGAATAGGCACAATTTGGGTGAACCAGAGGACATTCTCTACGTTTCCTCTTTCGCTTTGCTCTTAGCCCACAGCCACCAAAATCGTTCGACGTTCAGCATAAAAACAAATCACGACCATTGCGCAATACCTCTGTGTATTTTATCTGTGTTTCTCTGTCATGCGTAGCTAAAACCAGCAGGTAAAACACAGCATCGCGTTGTTGCTATGGACCAAGAGTCTACCCTTTCCTGACTTTCTCTTCGCAGCTCTGTTTGTTATTTGACTGCTTTTGTCTCCAGTTGTGTGCCATAGAAGCTCCGAATGTTTTCATATCCTTACGCATCTTGTGATAACGCAAGTTCCGTACGAACAATAGAGGAAACTGCAGGGAATATAATAAATCCCATCGGCTCTGAAGCAAAATGGCTTGAATTGAGTTGATTTTCTAAAGCTGTCACAGGCTGGACTTCCCCGGCTTCATATGACGTCCTGTGACGTCACCTCTTGGGCCCAATCAAGGCATTTTTTTACCTTCGTTAGCGCACTATCACCATTACATCACGTATCACCGTACCCGCCAGCTATTGGAAGTTGCTATAACATGCATAACACGTTATGTTTTATCTACGGGAAGGAGTTTCCAAGACTGGCGGCGATGTCGCGTTGTGAGAGTAATCATATCGCAAACGTTCAGATGATTTACATTATCGTCGAGAGGGCCGAGCAGAAATTGAAACAAGTCACAAAGAGAAGAAGGGAGGGGAGACTGAAAAAGCTGGGAAGTGAGTAAGTGAGCGAGTGAGTCAGAGAGTCGAAGAAAGAGAAAGATAAATGGAAGAAAAAAGGATGGAGAACACCAAGAGGAGGCATAAAGGAAAGAGGAAGAAATCAACAGGACAAACAGCAGCGGGGGAACTAAACGTCATTTCATGATTCTGTAAATACATCATGTCAGCCTGGCATTGACATACTGCTAACGCGCAGCCAGTCAACCAAATTTATGCCAAGCGGGAATGCATCACCAGCAGAGAGGTTCACAAACGTCCTCGCCGTTGTGGTACGATCCAAATGGTCATGAAACCGGCTTCAAATTCAGCTCGAAGTAGCCTCCAAACACGCTTATTTTGAGTGCAAAAATACGCCGGGTACGCACCTATTTACTCCCTTAATAACATCCGCGAGCCCGAGATCCGGCCGTCAGCCGCCGTCCCAGCTGGTCCGATCCGGATATGAGCGCGCCAGGGGCGCCGGCGGCCCTCCTCCGGCCGGGCTGGGCCGGGCCGCGGCGGCCGGCGGCGCCGGGGCGGGGCCAGCCTCTCGACACGCCCCCCGCCCCGGCGCCGGTATAAAGCGGCCCGCCGCCGCCGCTGAGGCATACACATCGACGTGTCTCACAGCTCAGCAACATGTTCAGACTGGTGAGTTGGTCGCTGGTCGCCGGTGGGACGCGGCGACGCCGCCCGGGCTGCGCGGCTCGCTGGCCGCTACAATGAGGCAGCCTGGCTCAGTTGATCAAAGATCGCGGCCGGTTAACTCACGCATCATTATTGCATTGCGATATTAGTGGGACAGCCGTCGAGTACCGGACTTCGTCCAAAGTAGCGTACTATCGGAGCCTGGCGCAGGCCGAGGCCGAGCTACGCAGGAAGAAGTGTGTAGATCTAACCCCTGACGTCGGCCTTTTCAGATCGTCCTCGCTTGCGTCCTGGCCGTGGCCTTCGCCGGCCTGCTCCCGCTGGGCTACTCCGGCCTCGGCTACTCCGGCCTCGGCTACTCCGGCCTCGGCTACTCCGGCCTGGCGCACGGCTACGCCGCCGCCCCGGCCGCCTACAGCGCCGCTGCCTTCCCCACCTACGAGACCGTCAGCCACAGCGTCGACATCGCCGCCGAGCCCTGTCGAGCAGCACGGCTACGTCGTCAAGTACTAAGCCGCTGACCATCGCCCTGCCCCATGGCTTCTTCGCCGCTTTTGGCTGTTTCTGTCCTCTCTCTTTGTCTGTGATGATCACACACTGGGACCGCTGTGAGTGCCTGCCGCCGCGTGAGCTGACGTGACGTCAGACCTGCCCGCTGAGCCCGCTGATTGGCTCCGGGACGCCAGCGTCGCGGTCACGTGACGAGTGACGTCCCGGTCGCCGCCGCTGGACACGTCGAATGTGTATTTTTGATAAATATATTGTGAACACCACCACACAAGAACGCGTCTGCGGAATTCGTGGGATTGCGATGGGACCATTGGTCATGGCTCGTGGGATCATCGTGCGCGCCCAAAGCACTCGGATTGTCAAGTCACAACCCGTTCGTGAGCTAGCTGGGAGCAAAAGACATCATGTTTGAAACTGATCGCAAAATGGTAACTCAGAAAACTTCAGGCTCTGTGTTTAAACACGGGCTGAGACAATTAAAGTTCCGGAGCACCTGTTACGAAAAATCTTTTCAATACGGAATCAACAGCTTTGGAGAGCTCGGCAATAAAATGCAATCTACATTCGGCATACCACAAATGAAACTACAAATATTACTGTTATTGTCTTTCACGGGCAAGGAGTGCTGATACCCTGAGTGGTATCTTTCTTTAGTGTTGCTGCTCGAATAGCTGTTAGTCTTACCTCAGTAACTACTCAGAGGCTTTTTACAGAGCGTAACCCCGACCACCTGGCTGGCCTTCGCAGTGACACCTCGCCTTGCTGTACCACCCGATGTACCGCCCTGCTGCCGCCCGGCAGCGCTCATTAACCGACACGAGGTCATCAAGGCGAAAGGCGTCATCAGAACGGGCTACACTGAGCCCACGGCCAGTTCCAGAATCTGTGTCATCGGCATCACCAGAGGTGTGGCTACTGGACACGCACTGGCGGGGAATAAAAACCTCGGCGCGCCTGTCGAGGCGCCATGGACATGCTCACGTGACCTCTGCGAAGGTCATACACTTATAGCAACCTCTGGAGCAGAGCCTGAAACTGGGCGCGCCCCAGTTAACCGCACTTTTGCGCGCGCCCGGGCCACGTTCCAGAGGACGAGGCTCGATGAAGTGATAACTTGGGCCGAGGCGTACGTGGGAGTGCCCATCAACCACCGCAGCCGCGCCATGAAGCGGGCCGCCATGGCGCATGCTGGTGTGCACCTCGGCACGCAGTCCTGGCCGGTGCTGCGAGAGGACCTCGAGCACTGTCACGTCCCGCACGCGTTACGAGGCCGCTGCGAGATTTATTGTGACAGACTCGGGCAAACGGCAGCGATTAAACTCTCCCCACGAGCGCCATTAGAGCAGTGCCGCTTGGCTGCGAGGCAGTTGGTGATTTCGCCCACGGCTGCTCTGCATCAGTGTCATGGCTGCGAGAACTGAGGCGCGAGGACCATGAAGAGATGACTTCGCCTGCCACTTTGGGAAGTTTGTAAGGTAAGTGTAAAATAGTGACGGGTTTTGGTGGTTAATGGAAAGTGCCAAGCGAAACTACCCCCGAGCTCCACCCTTCCCTGAAAGTCACCTCAACAGTCAGCCTCACGCTTGCCATACATTCTTCCATGTTTCATACCAGTTGTGTAGATGTGTGTGTGTATCATTGGGGCTTTACGACGCACTCAGCTGCTGAGGCCTATATGGTGTCGCCTGCCTCTCACCCTGGCAGGAAGGGCGGGCACCGCGGGGAATCGAACCCCGTACCTCTGGTTTCCCAGTTGTGTAGATGTACTAGCGGTTTAGGCATCCCAGGAAAACGGCCTGGTCGTCACTTAAAGAGCTTCTCGCGGACAGGGACCGATCTAATCGTCCATCACGTCACCAAGCTGCGAACCGCGACCGGGCCGAGACGCCAGGCCAGTTTTATCTCAGCCGGGGCCACGCAACCTGCCGCAATCCAGTTCCCGCCCTCGCCCCAGTCGGCCAACAAAGCAAATCACTATTCGGGCCTCTCCCGTATCTGAAACGACCAAAAACACCATGGGTGAGCTCCACTGGGCCCGTCAACCTTGCGTCGCTAACATCGCCACCGCGCGTTCCGTTAGAGCGCGTCGCAAACAAGCGTGCGGACCTGACCGGCCGGGCCGGCTGCGGGTGCAGGGGAGTCCGGTCGGTGACGCTGCAGGCTTCAGCTGCGGACGAGCCGCGAGCGGCCATCGGGAGTGGTCGGCGTGGCGGGGAAGGTCGCCGGCGTCCCTGTCCCGGTGTGCTCCGCCAGTCAAGGTGAGGCGGTCCCCAGGGTCACGTGTGGGGAGCCGACCACACCCATGGATGCCACCGCTGGCAGTGGCGCGCGGCCGACGCCCAAGCGTCCAGACGGGCGGGGAGGGGATGGGAATGGAACACTGCCATCTGGGGAGCATTGGGAAACACTGCCATCTGGCGGGAAAAAATGTTTTGCAGGCGCCCGCTGATCCCAGCGTTTAAAAGAACAGCTGTTCCGTCGGCGGCGAGACTGGGCTTGAAGGCGAGCGCTTTATGGCAGCAGGAGGGACGGAAGGCGAAACAGCTTCCGTTAGGGAGGGGCGTGCAGGCGGAAGGTCAGTTCAGATGAGAAGATCGCGTGATAAGACGAGGCTATGCAGCGTCTAGTATTTCGAAGTGGAGCCCTTACAGCTTGGAAGCACATATATAGCACGCGCTCCGTCACATAAGCACGCGCTCCGTCCGGGTGTCCACGACGTCCGCCCTCATCTAACACCATGTTTATTTGTTGTGGAGCTGGCTACTGCGCGCAGTGCTCGAATAAGCGCGAGCACTGCGTTCCCTTTCCTCCACCTCCGGTTGTTTTTAAAGTATGGGAAAGCTTCCATGTGTCTTTCGGACGCAGGGCAATCGCTGCATCCGCGCAAATGACAACCCAAAAGCAACGGGCATTGAATGAGGCGGTCTTTTCTCGCCGTTCAGTTGGGGCTTCACGGCGCACGCGGCATGAGGCAACACGGCGTCGCATGTTCCTCGCCCTGGCAGGATGGGCGGGCACCGCAGAGAATTGATCCCCGTACCTATGATTTCCGAGATGAGCAGCTTAACCTCAGCATCCGTGCCCCAGTCCCTCCTCGGAGCCACACGCCTTACGCTGTGCTGATTGGCACCAAACAGTGGTCGTATTTCGCTGAAAATGTAGATTTCCCCAAAAAGTACTAGTACAGCTTAGCAGCCATTTTGTAGAGCAGGGCGACAATCGCGATCTCCAGCCTTTTTAGCATCAACAGGCACGAACGACGGCACTAGGTACGCTACACTTTTTCAGTCGAGGCTTACTTCACAATTCTACAGTAAAACCATGCCCCGCAATGCACCCGCCCACTCATTTAGAGCCACCTATTTAAGCAATGAAGAACGTCATCGCGTACCTCTCGGGAGGTGGAGACAAACCCGACCAAGCCATCTGAACTTCACTAGAGCCAACGCTAGGGATCTGGTTGTCATTCAACGCCAGGAGACGCATCAAAATCATCAACGTGGACGCTCACTTCCCGGCACTTGCATCGAAAATAACTGATGTTTCCAGTCCTCACGGGACTAGAGCATACACCCTCCCGTGTGGCAACCAGCACTCACTGGCCACGTATCGTGATCTGCACCCTGAGCGCCACCCACCAGAGCGTCCCCACGCGCTTTCCGAGGAGTATACCCGCTCTACAGCCGCATCAAAACGTTCTTCGGCCCAGACGCAAACGAGCGCCCCTTGGACGCCAAGCATTACTACGACGAAGACGCGCTGTGTGCGAAGTGTGAGACTGACGCGAGCCCGACCAGTGCCTGGGGGAGCCAGCAGCAAATCAAAGCCCTTCTGACTTCACGCGAGAACGCTACTGACATGCTACTTCTGTCACTTCGCAAACAGCGAGCAGTGCAGCAGCAGCAGTCTATTCCGTCTCGCACAGCCCGCCTGGTGCGAAAATCGATGCATCACATGATGGCCATCTATTTTGCCTCGTGTATGACTCCACACGGTGATCAATGTCCGCAACACAACACAAAGCCAGTTCCACTTCACTCCATTGTACAGTAGGTGGCGCCGCAACACTGTCGCTCTCGTCACTTTGGTAAAGCGGGGCGACGGCGACGGCGGGCGGCGGACGGCGACTGAGCGGCCCCCTGCACCGCGACCGACTCCTCTCCGCCCCGGGGGCCGGGGGCCGGATCAGAGCCCGGAGAGTCACGTGCTCCCGCCCCGCGCCGACCAGCCGGTACGGGCGCGCTCCACGCGCAGACCTGAGCCCGGATGTCTTCAGCGGCCCTCGACTGCAAGCAGAGAACGACAGCGTGAGCAGCGGGCGCGAGACGCGGCATGCTCAGGCGAGCGCTGTCCATGTCAGGACAGATACATAATCACGGGTTATCAGTTGTCCCTATCTGTGCGTATCATCATGTAAACAACGACCTATCCTCCAGTCCGCCGAACCCGGCCGGCCATCGCGTGCCACTGGCCTGACGGCCGGGCGCAGCCAACACCAACAGCAGCAGCAGCAGCGCCAGCATCATCCGCACTCACTGTATGTCGAGAGGTCGATCTCGTCCGGCAGCTCCGTGATGTTGACGTCGAACCGATCCTGCACATCGTTCAGGATCTTGGCGTTGGTCTCGTCGGCGATGAACGTGATGGCCAGACCCTTGGTGCCGAAGCGGCCGGCGCGGGCCACGCGATGCAGGTACGTGTCCGAGTCCTCAGGCATGTCGTAGTTGAAGACGATGTTGACGCGCTCGATGTCCATGCCGCGCCCAAACAGGTTGGTGGCCACCAGGATCCGCTGGGAGCGGACGGCGCGGTCAACACCTCGTCTCTGCACCACCACCCAGGCGCGTGCACAGCTCGGTCAGAACAGAAGCACGATCAGTTTGTTCAGATGTCCCTATCTGTGGGGTGTCATCACGTGACAAGACGGCGGTTCGCTGCCAGCGACGTTGGACGCCAGCCGTACCTTTTGGAAGTCCTTGAACTGCTGGTACTTGGCCAGCCGCTCCTCCTGCGACATCGATCGGTGGATGGCGATGGCCGGGAAGTTCTGCTCGATCAGCAGCTTGGCCAGCGCCATGCAGCGCTGGATCGACTTGACGAAAATCACCACCTGACGGGCAGCAACGGCCAAATTACAGCGAGCGCCGTCAGCACATTTGACGCATTGATTTTCAATTATTCTAGACCAGACAACTAACTATTCACACACTGAATCCACAAAGATCGCAAACGGGTTCACACAGACTAACAAGCAGTTTCACGTTTCATGCAGTGTTCCAGCTGTATTACAGCCCGCGTATAAGGATAGAATCCCTAAACACGCGGCTTGACCACCCAACCGCACTCAGCCCGAATATACGGCCCATGACTTCCCCACCCCCACCTCAACCCCGGTCCCACCCACCGACCCCGGCCACCCACCTGGTTGAACTCGAGCACGTCCAGCAGCTCGAACAGCTTGCGGTTCTTCTCGTTCTCCTTGACCTTACAGTAATGCTGCTGGAGTCCGTGCAGCGTCAGCTTGGCCTCGTCGTCCACGTACACCTCCATCGGCTGCAGGCAGATGGGCGGACACACATGCTGACGGCCGCTCCCCCCGGACCACAGGCTCCCCCGCGGGTGTGAGCGGTGCCGGGCAGAATCGGGAGGCGCCCCACATCCAGCGGCAGATGAATGGATGAATGGAGCACGTGAGCATCGGGAAATCGCCATGCCTGTGATCTTCCGATTTAAACGAACACGCTCTTCCCCCGGAATAAATAATGGTCATTATTGAGCCACTGCAACGCAACATTTACACCTGGACTGCGCTGGGGCTGCTTCGCAACTCCGCACCCCTTCCCTGGGACACGGACGTCAGGGGGCGGCGCGCGGCAGGAAACCATAAACTAGCAGTACACCACGACCGACACAAATACACTAAGCAGGGCGAGCGGGGTCAGCCAGACCTGGTACCGCGCCGAGCCAGGCGGCCGGCGCGCCAGCGCCCGCCGCGTCACCGTCGCCGCGAGCCGGCCGGTCCGTCTGTCGTCCGGCGCCGCCGTCGCCCGCCGCGAGGAGTGGGGCCGCCGGACGGGGAGGGAGCCGCCGCCGGCGTCCGTCGCTGCTCCGGCGCCGCTGGCCGCGCCGACGTCACGGGGACTCCTGACGCCGAAGAGGGCGACGACGGGCGTCTCCGCGCCAGTGGGTGTGACCTGGTGCTGTGCTGACCTGACGCAGAGTGTGGCGACTCCCGAGGCGTGGGAGCGGTTTTCCGTACCTGATGTGTTCGCGCGTTTGTCAGCGTACGTGTGTCAGGAGACGTTCGGCGATCGAGGAGGGGTTCGGTGGAGGCGGGATGTTGCCAAGGTCTGTGGTATAAACAGGCCGGCTTCTGTCGTCAGGGCTGACGCGTGAGGTCGGCGTGACGCCGAAGCGGGCTGGTACGAAGCCGGAATGAGGTCGAGGCAGGCTGGTGTGAGGCTTAGGCAGGCTGGAGGCCAAGGCAGGCTGGTGTGAGGTCGAGGCAGGCTGGTGTGAGGCCGAGGCAGGCTGGTGTGACCGTCAGCCCAGAGCTTAGTGCGCTGCAGGTGTCCCGCCAGCGAGCGGCGCAGCACGTCGTGCCGTGTCGCGCACAGGAGCGCGACACGCGAGGACTGGAGGAGCGCGTGCCTGCCGTCGGGGACCGGACGGCAGTCCAGTGTGGGAGCAGGCCGAGCTCCGAAGCCATCGGCAGCGTCGGAAGGCCACAGCCGCTGGAGGACGGGCGCCGAGCTGGCCAACTCGGCGCCGAGGGATCCCAACTCGTCGCGGGCGCTTGGCGGAGAGCGGGCGGGCGCAGACGACGACCGTTCGACATCTAGCGACGACGCTCAGCCGCAAGGCGGCGCCACGGGACGTTGGAAGAAATCGAAGGCAATTACATCCTGCATGAATTTCTTGCAGACAGGCCGGATCTCCTTGCTGAGGGTGGCTGAGAACATGAGCACTTGTTTCTCGTGGGGCGTGTTCCGGAAGATCTCTTGCACGTCCCTCCGCATGTCTGGAAAGCAACAACATGACTGTTAGCAACTCCCCAGATATTACAACAGACAGACCTCCTGTTCCAAAATGATGCACCAATGTCAACCCATCACATGGTGGACTACATGTGGCAAACATGCTCTAAATTGATGCATATGATGACACATCAACTTGTCTTGCCTTGATACATCTATCAGAGGCCAAAACACAAATGGCTTCAGAGACATCCCAATCCAATGCAGCTCTCATCTTTTAATCATTACGCACCCTACTGACATCACTGACATTACACACCCAACTGACTACTGACATTACACAACACCTACCCAGTTCCTCCAGCATTTTGTCACACTCGTCCAAGACATAGTGTTTGAGATTTTTCAGGTTGAGCTTCTTAGTGCGAACCAGAGCCAGCAGTCCGGCCAGGGCGTGCCGACCACGATGTGCGGGCACTTGTTCTTCAGCACCTGCTCATCGTTCTGGATCGGCATGCCTCCAAAGAACACGGCCACCTGCGGAGTTGGGCGCATAGTCATGGGTTAGAGCATTCGAACAGCATGCAACAGTACTCCATGTAATGTCAGCTTCTCGTAGTCCTTTTCAATCACCCTTAAACACACAGCAAAGGTTGCACACTGGAACAAACACAAAAACAGATGATTATTTGGTTTCCATTCATTGGATATCCTTTTTTAACCTTTTTATCCTTTTTTAAAACATACTTGCATAACTGAACATCAAAACAAGTACAACACAGACTTGAAGCCATCACACCCAGTCCGATTTATTACTGACCTTAACGGTGGACATATACTTTGAGAAGCGCTCGAACTCCTTGCTGATCTGGAATGCGAGCTCTCGGGTGTGGCACATAACCAGCACGGACACCTGGTCGTCCACCATCTCCAGCTGCTGCAGGCAGGCCAGCACAAACACAGCTGTCTTGCCCATGCCAGACTTGGCCTGGCATAGGATGTCCATGCCGAGCACCGCCTGCGGGATGCACTCGTGCTGCACTGCACAGGGAGAAGACATGGTGTCAGCAAATAAACTGTAGCAGGATGCTTTCACAGTTGAGCATTCAGTTAATTAGCAAACCCCATTGTGTTTCCTCTGCCATGTCATGTCATTGGGGCTTTACAACACACTCAGCTACTGAGGCTATATGATGTCACCTGCCTCTCACCCTGGCAGGAAGGGCGGGACACAGCAGGGAATCAAACCCTGTACCTCTGGTTTCCCAGACCGTGCAGTGGTAAACGCAGGCATGTTAACCAATACACTAACGGCAACCCGTGTTTCCTCCGCCAATTTTGTCCAATGAATGCTTAATTGATACTGTATAACACATGAATCGATGACAAGATTGCATGATGCAAACTGACATAACAACTGGCAATCAGTGGCATTCATTTTACTGTCAGTTGCCACCAGCTTAGACTGTAGATGCACTAACCACTTTACCCACGTCATATGACTTGAACTACTTCACACAGCACACACAAAGAAAAATCTAAAAAGCAATAAATAACTGACACTACCATGCTCACCTTCAGAAGGGTGCTCAAAACCACACTCCACAATGGCACGCAGGATCTCAGGCTTTAGCAAGAAGTCCCGAAAGCCAGAGCTGTGGATGGAGACGTAGGTGCCCTTCACATCCTTTTTGGTGGCTGTGACAGCAGTGTCCCCGATGGTAGGCTCCGCGGTCTCATCCTCATCGGCATCCTCATAGTCCAGAAGCTCATTCTCATTCTCGGCCATGGCTGCCTGCAAGGTGACAGAGTGCATGTTAGTGGTTAAGCTGGACTGGCAAATATTCATTGATAATTATTTGGGCTGTGGGGCACACCAGGTACAAGGGTTATATGGCACCCATAACTTCCTTCTGAAGAAATAATGTTAGAAAGAAACACCTCTAAAGAAATAGAAATAGATGTGATTGTCAAGGAGACAAGTTAAGATTTCTGAAAATGTTTATGTTTACATTACATGAAGCTGTATGTCAACAAAATTGGAAATATGACCGTCATTTGCACCTGCAAACCTCAAGCTACCTCTTAAGATGCCAGGGCATGTGGCATAGGTTAACATTCATCACACATTGCTGTTGGCATCAGTGTGACTGAGTCTTGTCTTTAGCGCTAGGCTGTGCATGACATAATATGAGTATTTATATGACTCTAAGCTTCTGGGAAAAACAACCAGATAAACAAGATATGTCAGAGCAGAAAAGAAACCCTGAACCATTTGTGAAAACCTATTAGTTTTCCAAGCAAGCTATTAATATGCCAACACACATGATGCAAGGCTTGCATGATTCTGAACTCATATTTGGACCTATCCCAAATACAGAACAGCAAAGACATCAATGTAACTAACCATTTTCATGCAAAGACAAGTTCAGTATTAAAGAAAATGCTTTATTCTTCAAGATTTTAAACCAAGCACCACATATAATGAAACAAGCTCACAACTATTAGTTCACTTTTTAAGTGGGGATTACTCCTCTAGACAGCACAATTCCCTAATAAGAAATATGTCCCTCAATATGTAATGGGTTGATTGTATCACCATACCTTGCAAAACATCAAGAGCCAATTGATGGCCCTTAGATATGGAGATCTCACTCACAAATGTCAGATGGTGAATGCCTAAATAATCCCAGCCCTTGACCACCACATAGAATGTTACCACAATGTTGTGAATGCCAAGGTGGCTCAAATACTCTCCCAAAAATACCTTTCCCCATTCCATCAGTAACAAGCTAAGAAACTAGCAAGAGCTTGGGTTTCAAGCATGACAGGATTCTGAACACCAACAAAAGGTCTTCATGACAGTTATTTCAGTTCCAAACCCCATATCAAAGTGGGATACTCAATTTCTACTTAGCTTAACCTGTTATCAGTCTGGTGCTAACTGACAGGATTAAAGCATCAGTGCCACTCAGTTATAAGGCTCAGCAGATAGATATCTTTCAGATGGGTCAACAGTTCAAGGAGAGTGCTTGCATTGAGGACAATGTGTTAACATGTTTGATGTCAAGCCATCAAAGCAAGTAAATAGATAATTGTCACCCACATTCAGGCCACAAAAAAATCAAACCCATGTGCCAAGCATATGCATAACATCATTGCACTCAACCTGGGCCAGGCCAAAATCCATGGAATTTTCCAAATAATTTGGTACAATCAAATATTTCAGTGGTAGATTAGCCTGACATTATATTAGGAGCATGACAATCCCTACAAATGTAAGCTTTTGTGCTCTGAAACTGGTGGCAAGTGATTGTTCTCAACTCTTCAGCAAACAAATGCATGTGCTGAAATTACTGTAGTTATATCACTGGTAACCCAGACATGTTTGGCACACCTTATAATGCTTGCAGGCTGCCTAAACAACTGAATTTACAAGTCCACTTTCACATTTAGTCCAACACTGCCTATTCTATAACTGTTCTGTCCTGAAATTCCATCACATTCTAGTCCATTGCAATAATGTGCTGAATGGAGAATGAGCTAAACTCAGGATGCTCATACACACAGCACATATAATCAGATTCCAGCTTCAATTCTACGTTGATTGCGTACACACTAGCGTCATACTGATCACCACAGCAGTGCTTCAGCCCTGGTACAACAGCCAGAACCACACATCACTGGATGAAACCTGCGCGCAGATACGAAACACCCCAATACATGAAACGAATCCACTACTGGTCATATATGTTATGCGTATGAACAGAACCTGATAAAACCTGCCTCGCCACGTCAATGGGGCAGGGCGGAGGGAAGTGCGCCAAGCGCCGCCAAAACAACGACCGCGCGCGTGCCGCACCTCACCACCTTAAAAGAGAGTCCAAGGCTCATAAAACAAATGCAACCGTTCATAACATACATATCGGCGTGTCCACCATCGCCATTACCTTGTGGGATGATAAAACGACGAAACACGGAGAGCAGCCCCACAACCGACCAACGCACCGGCGAGTCCACAAAATGGCGGGGGAGCGTTCCGGAAAGCGGATGCAAAGAGATGACAAGTAATAAATGTTTAAGCCACGGCAAAATTTCATATAAGTTACTTTCCGCCTTTCAAATATGTTTCAAATTAAAAAAACATGCAAAATAATGCAATTTCATGTAAACTCATTATAGAATATAATGTAGATTGGTTTCACGCAACACTGAAATGCCGGAACTAGCAGATGTTCTGTGTATGTGTATGGGAGCTAGTAATGTCAATAACGTTTGCATGATGGGTACCCAGAAAATTCCGGTCAGCATGACATGTCGATTTGGCCTAGCTATTATAGTCATCGTGCTTTGAACAGTGAAACACCATTTTTGTGAATAAAGGCATCTGAGCTATTCAACATCGACTGGTTTACAAAAGTTGAGAAGAAGACGCAGCTAAATGTGAAGACATGTGATATGAGATGTGATGTGTGATGTGACAGTTTGTGACGGAGCATTAGACTGACCATTAAAGCAAAGATTAGAACGTTCATACGCAGGGGCTTAGCTTCGCAAAATCACTTCAGGGGGTGACTGAGCAGTGCTGAACAACACAAGGTACCTCTATACCGCGCCAACAAATGTTCCTTTTCTCTGATTTGGTCCACTGTCTTGCCCCACCAACTGAATAGGAAACTTCACCCGTGGCCGTGGGGCTTCTATAACATCTAAAACGTCCCCTTGAGACAAGAAAATAGGATCCCAAACCTCAAAGTAATTCAAAACCCAAAAGACAGGAATCCTTTAGCGACGACGTGGAGCCCCGTTGGCTGAAAGGGCCGTTTCGGCCTGATCCGGTGCCCTCCTGGGCCATAAGATCCTCATCAGGCCACTGCTCAGTCTTATCAGTCAAAACATCGTTGAAGATTATCAAAACGCCACAAACGTCAGATGATCACTCTTCCAGCTCCACCGTGATGCTTGCAACTCTTTTCAGTGATATAAAATATTTCGTCATTTACAATGACGTGGGAAATAAGGGGAAAGACTAGGGGGGAACACCCACCCAGCGTTCCTGCAAATTCCACATTGGCCACAAGGGCTGTTGGCCAAAAAAGCCAAAAAGGACTAACCGTCAACTTGGGAGAGCTTCCACTGACCGTGTCACACATTCAGCCAAAGCTGCATATCGCTCACAATTTTGCCGTGCGTTTGGGGTCCGTGTGCGTTGTGCCCAGCTGATCCAGTGTTGACAAACATCCTTTTGGACGTGCTGTTTGTGATACAAGTGCGGTACATCGCTTCGTCATTTTCAACAGATACATGCTTGCACCTTTGCGTAGCCTTTCGCGTTGCGGCGGGAAATAAGTCGTGCAGTCCCCGCCCCACTGAGCCGTGCTCCAGATTGACCTGGCTGTCGTACAGGTGGCGCCACATTTCAGCCGCCAGGGGGCTTCTGACGCCACCTAACGGCCTAAGCTGGCGCCACCAAAGCGTTTGGTACTGCTTTTTCCTGCTGCCGCGTCATGCATGCAGCGGCCTTTTCAGTAACCTCCCGCCTTTTCAGGTCGGCGGGAGGTTACCTGCAGCCTTTACGTGGGACTCCGCTCTTTCTAGTTGCCCCGGACCACAGATCTTCCACATCACACTTGAGTTTTAAGGGCGCGTCAACTGCATTGGTTATTTGCGCCTTTGTCTTATCGTTAAGAGCCTATGTCAGCAGAGCTATGATCAAAACTATGTCAGCAGATTGAGATCTATGTCTTAGTCACTCAGACAGCTTTTTCAGCAGCGTACCGGAAACGTAAAGCGTAGAAAACAAATGCTATGAAGGCTACGTGGCCCACTGGCCAATTGCCTAGGCCGGCGAGTATAAAGACTTGGAGTCAATGTCTCTGAATAATTTATAGACTGCTGGGAGATCGCTCGACGGCGCAACAGCCAGGCTAGGGAATGTGATTCAGATTAAGATAGCGTGTCGTACAAGATAGAGATACATGGTAAGATACAAGATGCATCGCTCAGTCTCGTAGTTCCGACACTCAGCTAGTCCATGGGCCACGGACAGAGGTGTTCCACATCTCCTGCAAAAGGGCCGAGCTTCACCGGAGAGCAGGCAACAGTGCGTCTTGTAAGTGTGGCTTATGCGCAACCGACAAACCTTTTCTTCGTCGGATCCGTTTTTAAAGAAAAATTATTTCCATTCACCGATTTACGCCTTAATGGCCCGGAGATTAAACAAGCTCCGGGCAATAGCTGTATCTAGTTCACCCTAAATGTGTTGCCATCGTGTTTTTAGATCACTATAAAATATATCCCTCAGATCTGATCCTGGTGTCTTCTTCCAGGCCAAACGGGGCCGTCGGCACCTTGTCTGGTTAGGGAATCAATCTCTTCGTTTTCAACTATCTGGGCGTGACCGGGCACCCAGGCGATAAAAACACGCTTGTTGTCCTGCCCGAGGTAAGCAATTTGCGCATTATTTCTTCAACGATTTTGTGCTGCTAACTTGCTTGCTGCAAGGTCACCAGAGAGCTTACACCGATTCGTTACAGTAGTGCACTAAACGTAGAGCCTCACGGATGGCGAACAACTCTGCAGTAAAAATGGAACAATGTTTAGACAAGGTAAAACTTCGTCTGTTCTCTGACACGGGTCCACATCCTACACCCGCGCTGTTTTTTTTTTAGCCATCGGTATGTATGTGACGGAACCCCCGATAAAAAAACGTATAAAGACGACACAGAAACTCCGCGCGGTGTCCGACTGCCGTTGTATATTTCTTTGATGACCCACAAAGATGGCAGTCACATTCGGGTGCTCGAAGTTGCCATGGTGGAAGGCCCTGCCCTGGACCGGAAGCAAACCTGTGAACCGGGGTGCCTAATCGCTCAAATATCTGGTTGGTACGTATGGTGATGGGCAGTGCAGTCTTTACATGTGAAGAAGTGAAAAGGCTGACAACACGTGGTGAAAGAACACTCGAGTATGTGGGGATGGGATAGAAATTGTGCGATTTTTGCCACATATCGTGCGGACAGTAGCTCCCGTCTTAAGTGCAAAGGGAGTTTATTTGCATTGACGAATATGCTGTGCACTAGGGCTGGTACGGAAGCCTCCCGCTGCCGTTTGGATCCCGTCGTGGTGCATTCTGTTCAAAGGTTTCTTCGCCGATCGTGAGGCCGAGTCATACACCTGGCAGGCACAGTCAATCTTAGATCGGGTAATTGACCTGTGAAGTAATACAAGTATTTTGCGGTCATCCCCATAGGACATCCGGGTGAAAATCTTTAAAACATCGAATGCCTTCAAGCAGTGATGCCGAAAGTTTTTGATGTGTGGGCGGTATGATAGCCTGCTAATTCGAATATGACGCCAAGGAACTTAGCTTCCTGTCTAACTGGTATTCTTCCCCATATAGCACAAGACGAAGGTCGGGGCAATGATCACGTTTTCTAAAAAAAAAAGAACATCCACAGTCTTGACGACAAAAGTTGAAGTCCATTGAGAGCACTACATCTTTCCAAGTTCCTAATGCCAAGTTGTAGTTGGAGTTCGGAAGCTGTGTTAGTTTGTGCGCTGGCCCAAATGGCAAAGTCGTCGACAAAAAGCCATCTCCCTACCTGTGGAGGAGGGGTTTCAGCTATGTTATTAACCATGCTGGCAAAGAGCACAATGCTGAGAAAGCTGCCCTGCGGAACGTCATTTTCTTGCGAGTATAGAGCGGACAGAGCCGTGCCCACACGGACTCTGAAGGGTTTATTCCGAAGAAAGCTCAACAGGAACATAACCATGTCCTTAAATATCGTATTTGTAGAGCTTCATTAGGATACCGTGCTTTCAAATCGTGTCATAAACCTTCTCGATGCCGTAAAACACAGCTAAAAGATGTCGCCGTTGCTGGAAAGCTTCCCGTTCTGACACATCTTTCATTGACACATTCCATTTCATTGACACACGTTCACCAGATGATATAAGGTACAACTATTCTTCCTGAAGCCATGCTGGGCGTTGGAAAGAAAAGGATGCTTCTCTACGTACCAAATTAGACGAGCATTTCAAGCAGTTTGCATGTACAAGATATTAAAGCCATTGGACGATAGTCCAGAGGACCTTTCCACTTTTTTCCTGGCTTCAAGATGGATATTACGATTGTTTCCTGCCATGAATCAGGAAAATCGTCGTTTGTCCACGGGAAATTAAATATATTACGAAGCGACCTCGCACTGTTCAGTGGTACATGTCGGAACCTCAAGTTGTGAATACAGACAGTCTTCTGAAACAATCTATAAAGGATGACATGGCATGATGCATTTCGGGCACTGTACCTAATGCATTCTAAGAATAAGTCTCTCTAGGCGAGAAGCTCAAACCAGATGATTCAAGTGGGTCTCGAGTCGGGCAGACACTGGATCGCGAAGACCATATCGGGATCGTTCCGAGAAAGCTCTGGTAATTGCGTTCGCCACGACAATTGAGTCTACAACTTCCGCACCACCAGTGGCCAATGTTGTAGGAGGCGTGGATGAAAACTGTCCAGCGATGCGCTTGACTCGCGACTAAACTTGTTTAACTGCAGTAAACCTGTTTACTTTGGAAACATATTCTCTTCAAGACGCTTGTTTTGCATTCAGGACAACACGCTTAGCAATGGCCGTGGAACGTTTGTAGGCTGCCATGCTTTGTGTGGTTGGATGTTTACTAACTTTTTGAAATGCGCACTTTCTGCCTGTTACAGCATCGTTGCATTTGCGGTGACCACCACGGGACAGTTGTGCTACACGGATGGCTGGATATGCGACACAAACAGCTATCACCCAGTGTTACCAAGGTAGTAGTGAAATTGTGGTTTACTGACGATGCGCTGTTCCCACTGTTCAGGAGCCTTGCATGTCTCACATGTCCGAGCAAAAATCTCCCAGTGCGCGTACTGCACATTCCATCGCCCAATCATCATCATCACTCCATCCAATCACAGGACTCTAAGCTGCGCGTCTATACCCAGCATTATCCCAATCAGGAAGTGGTCGCTACCAGTCGTGTCCTCGTCTACAGACCAAG